GAGAGGGGCCCCTCACCGCCACTCCATGCCGGAGCTGGGGCTCCGCAGCGCCTCCGAGCAACCCCCAGGGACCCCTGGCCAGCTGGACCCTGAAGATGGTTCTTTCAGTCGCCAAAGTGCCCCTCGCGTCAGCTTCCGGGACCCTCTAGTTTCTGAGGGAGGCCCTCGGCGGACCCTGAGTGCTCCTCCAGCCCAGCGCCGTAGGCCTCGCAGTCCCCCTCCCAGGGCCCCCACGCGTCGCCGCCACCATCATCACCACCGCCGCCGCCAGTCTGGCAGACTTCACCACCATCAATGTAACTTGGGATCCGGATCGGACTCAGAATCTTGCTCCAGCTCACCCTCCAGCTCCAGTTCAGAGTCTTCAGAGGATGATGGCTTCTTCCTGGGAGAACGCATCCCACTGCCCCCACACCTGTGCAGGCCCCTGCCTGCTCAGGACACTGCAGCAAAGACCCCCACCTCTCCATCCCCAGTGCCCTCTGAGAACTCAGGCCCAGGGATGCCTCGCCAGTCCAGAGACAAGAACTGCATAGTGGCTTGAAGGCGAGGCAGTCCTGGGAGGCTCCATTTCTCCATTCTCAAGTCAGTAGTTAACTTGAGAATAAATCCCCTTCCTTTCTCCCTCTGTTTGTACTATTGAAGTAACTTAATATTCAGTGTAAAACAGACCTGGCTTCTTTACCTCCTTGCTCCCACTGCCCCCCTTCCCAATTTTCTTCTTCTGGATGCTTGAGATTTATCCACATTTGATCAAAGGATTAACTTATTCATTATCATATATTCTAACAATCTGTTTATTATTTATACTTATCCCTCCACAGAACCACCCTCCACGCTGAGGTTATTTGGAGTGGGTCACATCCTGGGGCCTGGAGTCTGAAATCTGAGGCACCCTTCTCCCTCATTTTGTGACTTAGGTGGGGGCATAGTCCTGGCAGAACTGGTGTCTGCTTTTGGATACTTCAGAAGGGGAACCTAGGCACACCCATAAAGGTGGCCACACCCAGGAGAGTTGATTGGCAGGCTGGAAGACAAATGCTCCCGATAAAGGCACTTTTACCTCAATAGGGGGCTGGGAGTTGGCTAGGAGTGTTTGTAGGGGTGGGGAGCAGTGATTTCAATGGAAGTGTTATATGCAGGTTGCAGAGAGAAATGAAGGGAGTTCACCTACACCGGGCCATCTGCAGGGTCTGCAAGTGAAGAAAAGAGAGAAAGCAGTTTGGATCCATATGCCCATTTTACAAACAAGAATATGGAAGCTTATGGTATTTGTTGGCACTAAAGCCATAGTACCAATAAAGGACAGAGCTGGCATTCATGCCCTTGGGAGACCCTTTTCCTTCTTTCCTCAACACCCCCCTACACAGACACACACACACTTACTTACCAGTAGGGGCTGCTGTATGTCTTTGCTGCCTGAAGGGGAAGGTGAAATAGGCATCAAAGCCAAAGAGGCAGGCAGCAATTAGGCCCATCACCTGGGGGTAGAGATGGGAGTGAGGGGTGTTGGGTTAGCCTGGTTAGCCTACTCAGCCTTGTACCTCCTTGTATCTACTACCTACAGTGACTGCCCCATGCAGGGATGGTGACTAAAGCCCCAGGTTGGGAAGCCAGAGAGCCCCAAGGAAAGGTCAGGAAACTGGACTCTCCCTTTTCCTGCTCAACACAAGAAAACCACATGGTGGCCCCACACATAAGTGGCACCATTCACAGTGTACATTTGAGACAAAGTTCTAGCAGATGGCAGTCTAGTGCATTGACAAAGATCCTGTGTCAGGCAAAGGATAGCCCTTTACAGCAAATGATGATATTGGAAGGAAAACCAGGGCCTAGGCCAGACTTTCCTACAGACCCTGAGGACAAGTGTGGCCTTCTGTGGGTCACACACTTTCTCCCAGAAGCTGAGACAGAAATGGCCCCTAGATCCTCAAATCTCTCTCTGTGCTTTAGAGCTTCCTCTACAGTCTTTACCCCTGCGACGATTTTGGAATTGTTTCCTCTTTCAACGAGGACAATGATGGAGATGATCAGGTAGAGGATGGCCGCTACAAGGGCTCTGAAGAAATCCTGTAAGAGGTGGGGAGAAGAGGGAAGTCAGTGTCCAGAGTTGCCCAGACAATTCCAACTGCTGAGGCCCCTCCCTAGCCTAGCCATTTCTGGCCCCCTTCTCACACTCCAAGGCCAGTTGATGATGTTTATCCTGGTGTTCAGATCACACATGTAGATGACAAAGAAGACAGCAGCAAGGATCATCTCAACCACTGACAGAGAGAAGTATGCCGATGTGGAAGCGATGAAGCAGATCAGAATCACCAGGCACAATATCTGGAAGGATGACATGAGGAAAGGGACCTCCATCAATTCCCAGGGCTGAGGGGATGTGTTGAAATCAGGGGCCTCGCCCGGCTGGGCGTGGCTCAGAGGTTGAGCACCGACCTAGGATCCAGGGGACCTAGGATCCAGGCGATCGGGGTTTGATTCCTGGTCAGGGCACATGCCCAGGTTGCGGGCTCAATCCCCAGTCGGGGGCGTGCTGGAGGCAGCCTATTAGTGACTCTCTCATCATTGATGTTTCTATCTCTCTCTCTCTCCTTTCCTCTCTCTGAAATCAATAAAGATATATTTTTTTAAAAAAATCAGGGACCTCAAACTCAGATGCCTACGAGGGCTGAGAAGATGGCATAACTAAACACTTACTGTGTGCTCATTTTGTTACAAATATTGTCCTAAGAGCTGTACAAGTATTAACTCAATCATCCCAACAACCTACTAAGCTGGGTACTGATACTAGTATCTTTATTTTATAGATAGAAAAGTTAGACACAGAGACATTAAGTGACTTGCCCAGGGTCACTCAGTTCGTAAGGGGTAGAGTTGGGTGCCTCAGTTTCCCCCTTTTCCCCTTCTAAGGGGCAGTCTGCTGGAAGTGGCCCCGCCAGGTGTTCTGTGAGCAGTGCTGGAGCCAGCTTGGGGCCTTGAGCCGCAGGCGGGATGGGCAGTTCCGCCGGCAACCCCTTTGAGAAGAAGCGGTGAGAGTGACACTGGAGGGGCAGGGCTCCGGTTAAAGTCACCGCACCCCTTTTACAAGTGACTCAAAGGGGGTGCCCACTTTGAAGGGGGTGGGAAACTGAGGCTCCAGAGCATCTGGATAGCTAAGGACCTCCCACCCCACCAAAGAAGGGCGAGAAAGGGCCGGAGAATGGCCCTACCCCGCAGGACAAGCTTGGGGCTCCACCCCAACAGGCCCCACCCCTGGGCGCGCCGCCAGCCCGCCTGCCAGAGCCCAGGCCGGGCCACGCCCTGCCACTGGAGGTCCCCCACCTCCCAGCCCCTGGGACCCCTTCCATGAGCTCTCGGGTGAGTCCACGCGGTCTCCCTTCACAGCGTCCCTCATATGCACCCCAGGCCTCATCCCGTGGCCCACCAGCTCTCGACCACCTTCTCCAAACCCCACTGACTCTCCCTGCGCCCCTGGTTTCTGGCCTCCTCCACTAACCCACTTCCCCCCAGTCCTACTACCCAGTGTCGGCAGCCACGAGCCTTCCTCAACCGGGGCCGCCCGGTTCCGCGTGATCCAGCCACTCCACCCCGCCTTTGCCCACCCGC